AGTCAATGTTCAATACTCACCATCAAGAATCATCGCTAATTAAACACGAGGAACACGTGTGCCATATTATCGATCGTCGCATTTGAATATTTCGATATTTGCCTCCGACCAATTCTCACTCGGCGAGTCGCATTAGTTAGTTCTAACGTAGTCTTCTATTCGCCATTTGCACTATTACTGTCACCGACACAATACCAGCTTGATTAAAGCTCTACTCATGATGCTGTATCGAATGCCAACGCGAACGGCACTACCCGTGTAACAATTACTCTGTCCATTTTCGAAATTGCTGTGAATCAACATCTCGCATGTTAAAAAAAAATCCAGTTTTTTCCCAGCGAAAAATCCTTGCGTTCCATTTTTTTCCCCTGCATTCGACGCCTGGAGTAATTTTCCAGATCGTTATTATTTATATCGCAGATGCGTGTGCACCTGGTATTTCAGGGCATGAAACACAACGTTCAAAGTATTCCCCTTTTTCGGTAATTTCGCGCGAAGAATATATCACCGGTTAAAGGAGCGAGAGAGAGAGGGAGAGGAACAGATAGATACATCCTATAATTTATAACGCTTATCACGGAGACAAACGAGGTGTACGTTCTGACTTTCTAGCAATATTCGCAAACATTCTCCCGCAATCGATGTGAAGAGAAATTCAGTTCGTTCTCGAGCCGATCGTAATTTCGCAAAAAAGAACGCGTTTCCGGTTTCGCATCGGTAGATATCCGACGGTTAATCGCGAGGTGAAATTACAGCCCTTCTGCGTCGGAGAGCGATCATTAGCGTGGATGCTCCCGCAAATCATTAACGCGATTACGTTGTAACACAACAGTGCGTGAAATCTGTTTCGCGCGGCACAGAGCGCGGAAGGTGCGAGTTTTGCGGGAATCGCGTGTGGCAACGAGTGCCGCAGTCGAATCGATGTTAAAAAAAAAAAGCGGGATAGAGTTCCCGTTTCGGAAAAGCAGGCGAACTTTCTCCGGGAAAGAAGGTTAATCGATAACAACATTTCCACCCCAACGTTTTTTGATTTACGAGCCCGAGCCGGGTTTCAATATTTTATAGCGTCGCGTTTCGAATCTGGACGGTAAACAATTTGAAATTTGCACGAAGAACTACGCGCGTAATCGAATGAGAGTCTAGATAATGGACGAGTCTTTGCTTTACAACTACCACGCACGCTACTCAATTATCGACTGACAGCGATATAATTATCTAGCCGCTCCGAAATCGTTGGCAAACATAATCTACAATGTTAAACCTCGTTAGGCGGGTATAGAATTATGTTACTCATCGATAAATCCCGCTTACGATCGATGTATCTACGATGATCGGGGACTCTCGCGAGATTTAACGATCCACTTTACGTATAAGCGAGATCCGGTTTCGAAGTAATTCCGCTGGCTGCCAGTCCGATTAACGTTTTAATCCGATTACCAAAGTTTACTCAAACTCGCGTAGGATCGCCACGAAGAAAACCTGGAGATTCGGTAATAAGACAGAAATTTTCCGTCGAGACGTCTGGATTTCCGCCTTCCCGGCGAGTCTTAGTGTCCCGGCTAATTAATCCGCTAAATTAGTAGGTCGGAGAGTGAGTGTTCAGCAGAGCGTGGAGACCGCCGAGTACCAAAAAGACCGTCTCTGTAGCTGATACACGGTGCTCCGAGGGCTGGCTGCGGTAGCCGAGTTGCTCGCACCCGAATACATGCATACGTACCGTACAGATATAGACGGCTTCTACCCCGGGAGAACGCGCAAGATCATTCGAGCTTGCGACCGCCGTGAAAATGCATAACTAAGTAAACGCGGCCGGTGTTTCTATTGCGTATACGCGATTGCGTTATAGTTCTCGTTCGCGTGTGTACGTGCGTCAAATGTAATAACGTGTTGTAATGGAACAACGTTGTTTCTGTCGCTCCTGGACGCGTTCCTGTTCCCGGCGAACGAGGCGTCGGTGGAAGGCGGTAAAACGTGAGCCGGAACAACCGGATGGATAGAGAAGAGACGCCGGTTGCTCTAAGCAGTGTACCGAGCTTAGGCTTGTCTAACCCCGATTTCGTAGCGCTGTATGTGTCGTGACGTCACGTGCGTTCAACACCCTCGCGTGGTCATCGATCTGCTACCGCCGACACCCACCCCCTCGCACCCTCGGACGATGAAGGTGTAACACGACCCGGCGAGCATCTATTCCGGAATGGATACGCCACGCTCTATTTTTTCTTTCGATACGTTCAAAAATCCCACTCTCCGGTTTCATTTCCAAGCTGACCGAACACGTACCGCGTTACCCTTTCAAAAGATACGTGACGGACATCCCGAAACTCGTGATACACAAGCGGAAGGCCGCCGCGTCGTTAAGAAGAATAAATTTCTATACGTGACGCTATGAATGAAAGTTGCAAACAAAAAAGAAGTTCTCGCGATTCTAGACAATATCCCCGATTCCCTTCGGTGCTCTCCCGCGCCTCGACTTTCGCGCGAAAAACTTTCTTCCTACGTTTCTGTCTCGAAACTTGGCCGAACAACGGTACACAAGAAAAGTTCGTTCACACGTGGCTACGAGGCGCATGAGAATTTGGATAAACACGTTTCGAATCGTGAACAACGGTTCTCTATTTGTAGCTGTTACAATACATAGATTTAAGATATTCTCCGTCTCTTCGAAAAACGGAAGCGCTCACTTGGTGCGCAAGTACCGTAGTTACTTCGTCGATAAAATATTTTTCCTTGAACATCGACAATTAAAAAACGTTTCGAATTAGATTTTTCCTACACTGGAACTTGTCTTATTTCAAACGTAACCACCGTCCTTTTCAACTTAAACACCTTGAAAATTGAGTATTTGGAACTGGGTGGCGTTCTTGAACCACTCGACGATCTCTCACGTACGCGACTCCCGAACATAGTCAAGCTTTCATGAACATTTCGTAATACCTCGTACTTGTAACATCGCCAGTTTCCCGATACGTACTGCAGATAGTGAAATATCTCGTAGAGAGAATTTTCAACCGGCCTCGTTAAATCCTCTCCCTTCGTTGAAACGGAATAATTAATCAAATTTTTTATCGCGGGCTGATCAACCGTCGCGTAAGGATTTGAAAGATAATACGCCAGTCAGAAGTTAAACAATTGCTTTTGTCGTCTGAATGGATCGAAGATTGGATCCGACTGAAACGGGTGTAGGAAATTAGCTCGGAGCCAATTAGTCCCTATACGCGTAAATCCCTTCCGATATGATTAGTGGAACGGAATAGAAGCCATTTCAAGATGGAGTTGCCTCGAGCAGCTTACAGATACAAATCTCTCGACGAGCAATGGGACACAGAGCACAGAGGAGCACACAGCACCACGTGTCTCTCGTCCCTCCACGTGTGTCGGATGGCTCCGGGAAATAGAGCTCGCGTCGTCGGCCCGAAAGATATACCTCGTGCGGACAATAAGAAATAGAAAAAATAGGGGAACCGGTGGGTGGCAAAACTGTGGGGAGAAAATGAATCGAATAAACGGCTCTGAAGGAGTTTAAGGAACCGTTCAAGATTAAGAATCGATGGCAACTCGTCTATAATCGCATCCGGGCTTTTGCGATCGATTTACGTCGAATTTCCAGTAAGGTTCCACGGCTTACCCAAAGATTTATCCCGTGGGAAATCAGTTAGTTTCGTTCGTTTGAAACGAAATTCGCGGCGATCGAGGACGGTAAGAGACGGAGGTCTCTCGAGCAGCGAGAATAATCGGTCACCGAACCGTTAAGGTCGATGGTCTACCAAATTTACGGGCACGCTTTCTTGAATAAAATAATGACTAATATATCTTCTTTATAATAAGACTCTCGTTTATCCCGTAATGCAGCGTAAAGTAGTAACAGTAATAATTAAAGTAATGGATAGAGGGTATGTAAATTTCATAAAGAAATAATGGTTACGCGCGCGGACTGGGTGCACGGTAAAATTGCCACGCACTCGGCTGCATAAACTTGCACAATGCCTTACGAAATTGCTGGGATACGTGTACGCGTGAGGAAATTACGAAATTATCGTATTAAACTCCTAATTATGCATTCGTGCCAGTATGTACGTCGCTTACGACTTTTTATCACGATTCAGACGACAATCGATACGGACCAAACAACCTATCATTTTTCCGTAATTATCTTAATTTATTATTCAATTTAGACGTTACTGTTACCTCACGCTTTGTTTGTTCTTTTTACGATATCCGTAAACAATATGCAAGCGTCGAGTACGTTTTTATAGAAAACGTTCAGAAATCATATTGATACAACAATTTTTCTTCATGACGACCAGAGCGACTGGTTTCAGAAAAATTCAGGCTCTGAGATAGACTGCAAGGTAGCAAACTTGAGCCGGGAATCGGTAGTTGTATACACAGGCGTGTACATTATTAACAAGTATGAGAAACTATTGTTTTAAGCTGAATAAGATATGCAACGGCATGTATGAAATCGTGCGATCTGCATTTGATATGCACGCGAACGCGACAGGTTTCTCGGCAAACCGGTTATACGTACCTATCTATTCGCATATTCTGCATAATTTTCCCTGGTGATTATAAATAAATAAATAAACAATTTCTACTGATCTCATGGAAAATTCATTTAACCCTGATCGTTAATCGAATCACGCACGGAATTTTGGCATGAAAACATGCAGCGTGTAATGAAAATATCGTACAATACCGGTTCTGAAAACATGATTTACGTGGCACACACTGGGAATAAGCATCTAAAAGCTCTCCTTGCATTGCCCGAGCTCGTGCAAAAGTTTGTAAAGTAATCAGAAACATGGAAAGAGACTGCTACGCTACACGGTCGCACACATTTATCCGAGTTTTAAACTCCAGCCCCGTCGCAAGTTTGCTACGCTTCCGGTGTACCGTCCTCCAAGAGGGAAGTACACCTCTGCATTAAAGTCTTTTGCAATACGTTTGATATTCGTACGGAATTATTAATGGAAATTGGACACTAGATGCCCTCGACTAACCTTAATATCCGTTTGTCATAAAAGTCATCCTCGCCAATTAGGATTCGAACGAACTGCCACTGCACTATGCAAATAAGTACACTGTTAGTAGTGAACAGGTATTAAGCAGGAAATGAGAAATTTGCCGAATCAACTACTATCCGAAAATTGTTGACACTAATTAAGCGAGCTATGCGAGAACTGAAATCGAAGCAGGGAGTCACCAAACTTCGTTAGAGAGTTCGTTATACGAGTTATTTGCTTCCCTATGCCAGCGGATAACCGAACTAACGTAATGACTCTTAACTCTTAACACGAGGCTCTTTGTACAATGAACTCGGAGTTCTGACTTTGATAAATAACGTATTCGTGCAGTTCATTCAACGAAACATGAGTATATCGAAGTCTTACGGGCTATATATTGCAAAATATATGTTAATTCGATATAAAAAGACTTACCTAAGATTTTTCAAAGCTGCCGGGAGACACTTACACTTTGCACCCTTTGCACACACAACGCTCTCTCTGACGCCGCAGTCTTTCCAACAAAATGTCGATTCGGGTACGTCGCGCCACCTACCGTCAGCGTCGTGTATCATTTTCGTTCAAATTTTGTATGGTCCGTTAATAACAGAGAGAAAATTCTTTCGGATAATAATAAATAAATCTACTATTGATTTATTTACTTTCCTGATTCTGTTTGCAGATTTATAGAATATTACTGTCCTAATTAGCATCGTATTTACGCTTTCGTATCAACTACCATATTATTCCAATAAACTAAGTGATTTTCTAAATGAACAACTTATTACATATTCTAGCTTTAATAAAATACTGAGTATTCTGGTTGAGCTGTATAGAACAGTGGTCCTATAGAGATCAGTGATCATCATTTATTATTTCTTTTATAAGGGAATAAATGATTTCACTTTAAACGAAAATATTCATTACATTTCGAATACGAATAATTAATCTGCCTACGAACTACTGACTGTTCGGCACTCTGCCTGATGCGTTTTCTTTGTATACACAAATTATGCATCTATTACGTTAGATAGAAAGAATATTAAGAAATAAGTGATTTTATTGCAAATGAAAATATTCTTTGAATATCGAATATAACTAACCTTCCGTGCGAACGTCCCGCTATTCTGCGTCCTGCTCGTGCTGTCCTATTCATGTCCAACCTGATCACTGTTACCAACGTTGTTGACATGGCCGACCGACGGGAATGCGTGCTGTTCCTTTTTTCCAAATTGTACATTCAGTACTTTAGAAAGACTACAGAAGGTTAGTTTCTTCAGTATAATAATCTCCATTTTTATAATCACTGATTATTCGAATTGTGGAGGAGTTTATGTGTACGCATATACGTTAGAATGATTTTGAAATCATCGCTCCCCTTATCTCGGATTGTACTTGCTTAAATGTCTTAAAACGTGAACTAGAGGAATGCGCGCGTACGTTTTAATTCTAGAATCTCGAAAACTTCATTTTTATATCCTTAAACGAAGTTCTTCGAATTGTATTCTTTAAATTTTGCGAACAAACACGTACGGTTACCAACATATCTTCTCGATGACCGACACATGCATAAAATTTAGTTTCTATGATGAACCGAAGGTGGCACTACTTACCCCGTCCAGCTTGCGTTCCCCCTCCTGAAACGAATAAAAGCAACATGGCCGCCCAGTACCAAACCGCTATGACGATTTACTTGTCAGTTTCCTAATTATTGCCTTTTTATATATTTTACACGAATTTTTTAAGTAATTGTGTAGTAAATAAGTACAGTGTACGCTAGTTTACAATGTGACGGTGGGGATTAGATGTTAGCCATCGCTAGATCGTCGTATATACGAAAACAGTGGTAAGTGTTTTGCTATCTTGTGATCGTTGTTCCTTTTCATGGATGCCCTTTAAACAAGATGAACAGTTTGTTTGTCGCGATTTATTCCAAAATTGTCGAATGAGCATCGTGTTTCGCTGTGCTCCGTACTCTGGCTAAGGTACAATAATACAAATAACATGGAACGTGCACAGCCAGGCATGCGTCCCATGTCAATTAATCGCGTCAGTACATATAACCTCTCGTATCTTGCAATGCTTTTCACCGTATTTTTTATACTGCGCAAGTTGTTAGATATTCTCACGTTACCACGTTTACGTCAGTCAGAAATAGGAAGAAATAAATAGTCAATATAGTTAGATTGTTTTATTTGATAGACACTTTCATTGACATTAATGTTGTTATATCTTTGTTTACAGAAAAGCTGAGAAAGGACTGGTATTGAGAGAGAATACAGGTGCGTACTGACTGAACTATCCCAAGAGGGGATGTGCCAAAACGTTCGAACATTATCTACAGACAAACGTATGTTTTGTTTCTTTATTTACTTTTTATTTTCATGTCCAGTAACATATCTTCTTTAAAGTTAATTAAAATTCAGTTCATAGTACAGGATAATGTTTCTGTAAAATCGAAAATTATTAATATACTTGATTAAATACGCTTTCCGACATAATTGATGTAATAGGTCGTGAATGTAATTGATAAACTTTGCATGGAGTCATTGCAATTGATAACATATGACCTGTTTGAAGAACACAGTTGCAGTGTCCAATTTACTTATATAAGATGTTACTGGATATCTAAACACACTTATGATTGAATAGTTTTAAGATTGTTTCTTTTCCCCTGTGTGTATTATTTTACATATTTGATTTGGTCGTTGATATTTTGTTTTTATCAAAATCACGTTTTATTTTAAACGATCATGAAACAACAGATCGTATACATCTGTCGTGCATTTACTTTGATGCATCATAGCTTTTTACGTCAGCTGATTAAATCATAACTGTATATGCCCCTATATTCCCAATGATAACAGTAGACTCTTTGCTCTCGAGCAGTACGATATCTTATCAATATTATAAATTGAATATCATCGTCTCGTTGCGTGAAACTACCATATTGTAATTAAATTTTTTCACGCCAAGCGTAAGATGCTATTTGAACGATCGATATTTCATCGATCGTTAATTTAAAAGAAAATGATTTGCGAAGTCAACAGGCTTGTGTTTGAGAACAAACTGTGAAGTGGGAAAGAAATTTTTTATAGTATTGTGAAAATATTTTACCTGTACGTTTTGTTACCAATCGAAGTACGTAAAAGGTTCGAAGGTAAGTCAGTACCGACGCTGGCGTCGCAACGCCCACGCGTCCTTTTACCGGCGTCCGCGATCAGATTACCGACCGTTACGTAACCCGTTGTGGGTGGAGTTCAAACGCCGCTTTATCAGCGGTGAATTCGTATCACGACTTCGTGAACGTTGCACAACGGAAGCATTTCCGTGTACCGTTCGTTGCACTGGTGGTTTTCATCGCCTGTACTAGCAATCGGAAATCTCATTCGTACGTAGACCAACCGTAGTAACGTACACCGAAGTTGAGTTGTAGTTTCCTAATAAGAAATCAAACAGATAAAAATGCATATTTTGTAAAGTATTCGCCACTACCATGCAATATTAATATATAAGGTGTTTGCACAAGGATTCATTTCGTCGATGAATCGCACATTATGGACTTTATGTAGAGTTAACGCACGAACGGTTTCGAGTAAGGGGTTGGTAGTTGGTTTCATGGAGGGTCGGTCGGGGACATAGTAAGGTGGAAAAGCGGGAATCATAGCTAAGCTGTGGCTCGTGCTTGGGTCATGTTGGCTTACACGCGAGCATACTTCCGATCACGCGCACCCGCATATTATTTTTAATCGCTCGATATCTCACCTGAATGGGGGTACGAGTTTCGAGGGAACCCTACGATTACCCATAATTGGATTACATTTCCTTTTATTCCCGTTCATTTTGGTTTCAATGTAAATTTCAGCTCCGTTTCATCAATACCTTCATTTCTCTCTTTTGTCTACGACAGAGTACATTGCATGCAGTATACGTACGCAATACTTGAAATTGGTACGGTCTATTAAGTTAAGAGGGCTTCAGGAAAAATACTGAAATAAAATGATAGTCGTGAAAAGTTTACGTTTCTCGTTGTTGTTGGAATTCATCTATGATGTAATAAGATTCGAGTAGAGTAAAATAAGAACAGCAACGGGTGGGAAGTAACTGACCGCAAAAGCGACGTCGAGGTTTTTTATCATCTTTTACTTTTTTTGCGGAAACTCCATTCGTTCATTAGACTCGGAGCTGTCCGACGTTCGCTAACCGAACCCGCGTTTCCAGCTTCCTCAAACTGGGTAAATTTTAGTCTCTCTCTTGTCCCTCTGTTTCATGTACAATGATACTTGATACTTCATTGTATCTTGTTTCGCGAAATGCTTTAAAAGCTTTCCATATTTTTTACGGCTCCGTTGGTCTATTCCCGTGAGAGCTAGAGAACCATTAAATTCGTCACTCGGACAGAGTGTCGCCAGGGAAAAGGATTGAGGTTAAATTATAAACATCAACATTGTAAAAATGATTGTACCATTTTTCTATGTACTCCATTCTGTTGAAAAACATTTTTTGCTACTGGCGAGGCCCTACACAAAACTAACAATGCCGGAACGAACGGCGCGAAGAGAACCGGAATAAAAGCAACGGCTGGCAAGAGCGTAGTAGAGGCGTTGCGCTGGTCGTAGTAGTTTAATGACTTTAATGACCTTGCGATTACGTCGACCACAGTCACGGCGGGTTAACAGGCGATAAATAAAACGTAGACACGAGTAGCGGCAACATGCGATGTTTCTCCGTCGACCGTGCGTTTCTTCGCCTCGCACTTTATTTCAATTTTTTCAAGAAATAGAAAAACAGCCGTCCCCGTTGCTGCGGTGTATCTCTCATGGATTAATATACGCGGAAGCGGCGGTTCTCCGTAACGTGTGTGCATTTAATTACGTAATGTCAAGTAGACACAGTAAAATAAACGCGAATGGTAGGAGGCGGTAGAACGTAGAATGATAGTTGATGTTCGTAGATCTTTTGGGAAAACAGCGGGATATGATTCTCGCGAGTCGTGGTAGAATCCGAACCAAGCCATGGTGTAATACCGCCGGAGGCTGATGCCTCGGTATCTACGTACTACCGAGTCTCTCGGTTTGCCGAGTAATCCAGCTCTTACCTTCTCTCTAGTCCCATCGTTCTCACCCGCGTTTCCAGCTTCTTTTCTTTCAGCTTCCCAGCCCCTCTGATCTCTCTCGTTCTATACGCTCGTTTCATTTCCCTTTCGTTGAACCATCGCCGGGTTCCTTTTCCCAGAATCGCGTGCTAATTAATTAAGAACCCTCGCGAGAAAGGGTGATTCCAAGGTGACGCGACGAAACACTCCCTGAAAGTTTGCTCATTTCTCAGGACTTTCGACACCGTGCCCCGTCCGACTTTGTGTATTAAATATCACCGAACTTTTTAACGCTCTCTACTACCGTTACTTTTTTCCCTCCGATAATAATTAATCAATGAGGTCACTGAATATCTCACTCGCGGAAGCGACGAACGCCTGATTTCATTACTGTCACTTAAAACGTAAGCTGACGGCTTAAACGTCGCTTTACGCGTCCCTGCATTTTGTTGTATCAAAGTTAATCCAAGCAAGGTGTAGCGAATCAAATTCCACAGAAATAGGAAGGGAATTTTCGGGGAAAATAAGATTAAACGGTATATCCTGGAAGCGTTTATTACCTTTTCTCGTGCAATTTATCTATTATACATATTATTCCTGAGAGAAAGCTTTCGGTTAAATGCAGTGGACAGTATGGAACAGAGTAACGGATCAATGAAGCGTACGTAGCTCCAACTTTTCGAAATTTCAATGTGATCGATTATACTGAACATCGTCGGCACTGTCCACCGAGCGAACAATGGACATTAGCTCTGATTAGGACATGCAACTGACACCGTATACGTAACCTACTCTGTATTCCTGGAGGACGCAGAAGGCAGTACGTTCATGGTGATCCCAAGGACTTGGCTCCATAATAGTATTAGTATAACGGCAGTGCTTACGGTAGAACGCCCAGGAACCATGCAATCATTGGCACGCGAGAGTGCGCCCTGTTACTGCGCTGGTGATAAGGACTACAATCGGGGCACCGACCGACTGGATGGTTCTCTTAAATCGGGTAAATGACTCTCTATCCAAGAATTTTCTCTGGAACCGAGTTACGTCTTCCGCAAGGTAGAACAACCGAAACGTGGCGCACGATGCGTATTCGGAAAAACGAATTCGGCGAGAATTTATTTATCGCGGTGAATTGACAGCGCTTGAATGTAACACGGTTGGATGGTGAAACACGTACGAGGAAAGTTGATGTGATTTGGCCAGAAGAGTCACGGCCAAATGGATTTTCGTTCCGGTTTTAGTTCAAGCGATAAAAGTAATTTCTGCTGAATCGACCCATGCTTTTTATTTATTTATCTTTTTTTTCGTCAATCGGGAATCGATTGATAATCGCGACGTTCGGTGGCATCGTCGAAGAGCGCGCGGGCGCGCGTTCACATATATACTTATTTATGGTCATGGAGACGTATGTAGTATTCCAGACGGGTAGAAGGCGGGCTGGTAAATTTCAGGCCGCACCCCTGAAACGTACCCAGTACACGTATGAAAGTGCAATAAAGAAAAGTGGCGTTCGTGCTCCGACGAAACGCGGCACCACGCGTATCCCCTCCCCGACAATTTATTTTCGATCAAGGTGGCCATTGCTGATTAGCGCGACAATGCCAGCTTTGTTCGACGATTAACGACGTTTTATCCAATTCCACCCATTCCGTGTACCCCTCTCGTTCCGATAATCGTACGTTCGAGTCCGGATAAGATTTAAAGAGCCATTCGACTTCGACTCACGGGATGAGCCTCCCCCTTTCATTAAACTTTAAGCTCGGACGCGGAAACTGGAAATCCTGTTGTCGCCGTTTACGTTCCTCCGTTCGATCACTAATTCATTACTATGAAATATTGTACGTGGTTTCCTGCGTTTATATAAGAGTTACTCTTTTCTTCGCTAAGGGTCTAAATATTTTGTGCTCTTTACGCCGACACGAAATTCTTCAGAGAGGTTCCACCGGTCTTAGGAGTATCGCGGATGCTACCACAGGCTTCATGAAACGTCCTGCATTAAAGATGGTGTTGAGTTGTTTGCTCTACTTTCGGGTCCGTGTCCTTTTTCCTCGTTTTCCTCGCTGGCATTTTCCTGTACGTCGCTACGCTTCGAAAATATTTTTCCTCCTAACGTCGAACGTCTATTAATTGTCAGGGCTCCCCGACACTTTTCAATCCATGATCGGTTGAAAAAACAAGCCGGTGAGAAGCAAAGCAATGTCCGGGCGGCGTTGATTGGCGGCTAATCGTAAAACAGGTCGGAAAAGCTCGGGAAA